AAAAAAAAAAAAAAAAGAAAGAAATCTAGAATGTCCAGTGGGGAAAAAGCCAGTTTCCAAAGATTACATACTGTTATGGTTTGATGACTTGTCCCTCTCAAACCCAGCACTTTGGGAGGCTGGTCTCAAATTCCTGACCTCGTGATCTACCTGCTTCGGCCTCTCAAAGTGTTGGGATTACAGGTGTGAGCCACCATGCCCAGCCATGATTCCAACATATGAGCTTGACGCGCGGCCACATTCAGTCCATTGCAGATACAGTGCTTCTCCCCTTTGGCTTCTGATGTCTGGTGATCTTCCGGCATTGATAACTCTTCCAGAGGCAAGGTAAAACACCAGGGGTGTGGGGAAGTCAAGTGCAGAGGATCCCAAAGGCCTGGAAATGAAGCTGCCTCCCAAGTTTGAGACAGGTACTCCACTGATAGTGATGAAAGGGCACACTCCACAGGAAGAGGCCTTGCTGCTATGAGAGAGGTGGATCACACCTCTAATCCCAGCATTTGGGAGGTCGAGGCAGTAGGATTGCTTGAACCCAGGAGTTTGAGACCAGCCTGAGCAACACTGTGAGACCTTGTCTCTACAAAAAAAAAAAATTCTTTTGTTTGAGACGGAGTCTCTGTTGCCAGGCTGGAATGCAGTGGCACGATCTTGGCTCACTGCAACCTCTGCCTCCTGGTTTCAAGCGATTCTCCTGCCTCAGCCTCCTAAGTAACTGCAACTACAGGCGCGTGCCACCACGCCCGGCTAATTTTTTGTATTTTTAGTAGAAATGGGGTTTCACCATGTTAGTCAGGCTGGTCTCAAACTCCTGACCTCAGGTGATCTGCCTGCCTCCGTCTCCCAAAGTGCTGGGATTACAGGCATGAGCCACCGCACCTGGCCTTGTATTTTTAGTAGAGATGGGGTTTCACCATGTTGGCCAGGATGGTCTCGATCTCTTGACCTAGTGATCCACCCACCCTCACCCTCCCAGAGTGCTGGGATTACAGGCATGAGCCACCACACCCGGCCATTTTTTTTTTTAATTGAGATGGAGTCTTGCTCTGTCACCCAGGCTGGAGTGCAGTGGTGTGATCTCAGCTCACTGCAACCTTTGCCTTCTGGGTTTAAGCAATTTTCCTGCCTCAGCCTCCCAAGTAGCTGGGATTACAGGTGTGCGCCACCATGCCCAGCTAATTTTTCTATTTTTAGTAGACATGGGGTTTCACCACATTGTCCAGGCTGGTCTCAAACTCCTGACCTCAGGTAATCTGACCACCTCGGCCTCCCAAAGTGCTGGGATTACAGGTGTGAGCCAGTGCTCCTGACCTCTACTAACAATTTTTTAAAAATTAGCGGGGTGTGGTGGCACACACCTGTAATCTCAGCCACTTGGGAGGTGGGAAGATTGCTTGAGCCCAGGAGATCAAGGCTGCAGTAAGCCATGATTGGGTCCCTGCACAATCAGCCTGGGAGACAGAGTGAGACCCTGTCTCAAAAAAAAAAAAAAAAAAAAAAAAGGAAGCATTGCTGGACAGAAAAATGATGTGTTTCTAATAGTGGAAATCAGGTAGACTGACCAAAGCACTGAGGGACAAATGTATTTAGTTAGTGTAGTTCTGTGTGCACATGGTGGGGAGTATATGGCAAGCAGGGAGTTATCAACTGGCAGTCTTTGGCAGTGACTACACAGAGGCTTCTCATGATTTCCACTTCAGTCACAACAAAAGCCACAGTAGTTCCAGTGGACTGACCTTACATACTACAGGATCTCCCAGACCTGACCTCCTACCTTCTCCCTCTCTTACTCCCCTGCAGCCACACCGGCCTCCTGGCCGTTCCTCACACACACCAGCAACAGCACTACCACAGGGCCTTTGCACTTCGTTTCCCCTGCCTAGACCACTTTCCCCAGATAGCTGCATGACCACCCCTTACTTCCTTTAATAACTTTGCTTAATGTCACCTCCCTAAGGCTTTCCGTGACCATCCTATTAATACTGCCCCTTTCCCCCATGGTTCTTACCTTCTTGTAACATCCTTCATCATTTACTTCTGCTTATTACTCACTGTCTCAGCCCCAGTGGAGCAACAGCCCCATAAGGGCAAGGATCTTTGTTTGTTTTGCTCATAGCTCCATACTCAGTACCCGTGATGCTGCCTGGCATATAGCAGGGTTTTGATATTAAGTGATTTACTCCATACTGTTCCCCTAGCATGCAGGGTAATATTTGGCATTTGGTTAGGGGCTCAAGAGATGTTTGTTGAATGAATTGGGGTGATAGGGGACTTGGTGGGAACCCATCCCCACTTAGATAGCTTTATAAGCTGTTAGATATTTTATCCCTCTTCATGGTGCTGCAGATATGGAGATGAAGAGGTGGCCTCAGTGTGGGAGTGGAGGGGAGCATTCCCTTGAATGAGGAAGGAATGTTAGAAAAGAGAGCTGAGGCCAGGTACAGTGGCTCATGGCTGTAATCCTAGCACTTTGGGAGGCCGAGGCGGGCAAATCACAAGGTCAGTAGTTTGAGATCAGCCTGACCAACATGGAGAAACCCCGTCTCTACTGAAAATACAAAAATTAGCCAGGTGTGGTGACGTGGGCCTGTAATCCCAGCTACTTGGGAGGCTGAGGCAGGAGAATCGCTTGAACCTGGGAGGCGGACGTTGAAGTGAGCCAAGATTGCGCCATTGTACTCCAGCCTAGGCAACAAGAGTGAAACTCCATCTCTAAATAAATAAATAAATAAATAAAAAAGAGAGCTGAGAGGCTGGGCACAGTGGCCCATGCCTGTAATCCCAGCACTTTGGAATGCTGAGACGGGAAGATCACCAGAGCCCAGGAGTTTAAGACCAGCCTGAGCAATATAGTGAGAGCCTGTCTCTATTACATTCAAAAAAGTTAAGAAAAAAAAAAAAGGGCTGACCTGTCCATTCTGCCACCAAGCACAGTCCCGGCAGCAGCCTCCATCACCCCAATAATTGACTTCTCTCTGAAAGGCAAAGAAGCTGCTTCCTGAGTCTGCTGCTACAAATTCAAGGCTAAGTCTGGACAATTTTTAATAGAAGCAGCCTCCTGCTGAGGAAACTTCTGGAGGCTCGGCAGAAGAGGCAGATGCCTTTTAATCTACATCTTGCTCAATCACCGTGATGTGAAAAAAGCCAGTCTGGACAAATTGTACAGGTCACAGTCCCCAGCTTGTGAGGGGCCTGTAGAGAATTCTCGGGCTCACAGAAGCCGTTGCTGCAGTAACCACTGCCACAAGAGCAACTTTGGCAGCAGGCAGATGCCAGGCAGCAAGCTGAGAGAACACTGCACAGATTCAAAGGATCTTCAGATACAAGGCTTTGTTTGTGCACAGTGAACAAGGGGCAGACTGGGAAAGCCTCCTTATATTGTCCACACTTCCCTGAATGTAAGGAACCCTGTCCTCAAAATGGGGATCAGCAGGGCTCCTTTCAAGGCAAAGCACAAAAAGTCCCAGTGGCCTGTCAGGAGAGACCAGGCGCTCTGCCTGGAGGTAGGTGTTCTGGACAAAGGGCCATATTCAAGAACTTGGGGCCCCATTTTCAAGCGTAGGCTTAGGAGAAAGATGAATTCCAGGAAATCTGAAGCTGATTATCTACTTTAGCATTGTGGCACAGGGAGGAGATGGAAGGTGTGTGAAATGGCTGGGTTATGTCGTGTTACAGGGCAGAGACAGAGCCCAGTGCCATTCCCTGGGGAGCTTTAGCTCTTCTTGAAGGTGCTACCCAAGGCTGGTTTATTATGACTGGAGAAAGGAGGAGGCCTTGACAGGGTGAAGCACGTAAAGCATAGGTAACTGACTGCTGAATGTGAGAAATTGGGAATATCCTCCCTAAGATTAAAAAGATATAAGCCAGAGGCCAGCCGTGGTGGCTTACGCCTATAATCCCAGCACTTTGGGAGGCTGAGGCAGAAAGATCGCTTGAGTCCAGGTCAATGCTGCTGTTAGCTATGATTGTACCACTGCACTCCAGTCTGCATAACAGCGTAATAGAGGAAGACCCCAGGCTCAGCATATTCTCTGGGGTCTTGCTCTAACCTGATAGTGAAAGCAGACTCTGCTGCTAGTTGCTAGAATTCTTGCTCAGGAAGTTGTTCAGAGATGTAGTACTTCAGATTCCACAGCAACTAGTCAAGAGTCAGATTTTTTTTTTTTATTTTTGAGACAGAGTCTAACTCTGTCCCCTGGGCTGGAGTGTAGTGGCATGATCTGGACTCACTGCAACCCCTACCTCCCGGGTTCAAGCAATTCTCTTGCCTCAGCTTCCTGAGTAGCTGTGATTATAGGCGTATACCACCACACTTGGCTAATTTTTTGTATTTTTATACTTTTAGTAGAGACAGGGTTTCACCTTGTTGGCCAGGCTGGTCTTGAACTCCTGGCCTCAAGTGATCCATCCACCTCGGCCTCCCAAAGTGCTGCGATTACAGGCATGTACCACTGTGCCTAAGCTCATACTTTTTATATTCCAAGAGTGAGCTCATAATCAATTGAGTCCTTTAACTTGTCCTGTACCCTGAACAGGAAAGCAAGGCTGAAAAATGAAATGGTTCCCACCTCAGTCAACTCAGTTCCCACCTTAACTCGCAGCTCATCATACCACTTATGATTACATCTTTCTATTAAGTATCTGAAATGGTTTTTATTATACCCTAAATTCTGGTAAATATTGGCTTTGTTTCTAGCTTCCCTATTGGTTCATCCATCCATGTCCCTTGTCCTGGTCCCAGGACTGCACCAGAAGTAGAGGATGGAACAATGATCTTCCCACCTTCTTGAAGGCAACTTCCTCATACTGTACAGAGCTGGTAACAGCCTAGGGGATGGGAGGAGTCCCATGGGTCAGTCTTCATCTGTGTCACTAGGGCCCGTGTACTGGCAGACGGCATCGTAGTGAAGCTCCACCACCTGATTCTCTCTTGGCAGTTGCACCAAAGCCCGGCTCCGTGCTCTGTCCCGGCTTAGCAAATGTCCCACCTGGAACAGAGGTGAAGTGAAATCAGCAAGGCCAGCCTAGACCCTGGGACAGGCCGTGAATGACCCACAAACCTCCACTGCCAGGTTTGAGACTCACCCTTCCAGCCTGTGGGCCCAGAACCACCATCACACGGTCACCCTCTGCCTTGGGAACCAGTGTCTCCAGCATGTTTTCCCTCAGGCCTACAGGTAAGGGAGAGGGGAGTGAGGCCCACAGCAAGGACCAGCCCAGCCAGGGTCCTGTCAGAAGGGTCCTTCCTGGCCAGGTGTGGTGGCTCACACCTCTAGACACAGCACTTTGGGAGGCTGGGGTGGGAGGATCTCTTGAGCCCAGGAGTTTGAGACCAACCTGGGCAAGATGGTGAGATGTTGTCTCTACAAAAAAAAAAAAAAAAAATTTTTTTTTTGAGTTGGAGTTTTACTCTTGTTGCCCA